AGCCAGACTCCGTCTCAAAAAAAAAAAAAAGCCTGTACTCCAGCCTGGGCGACAGAGCCAGACTCCGTCTCAAAAAAAAAAAAGCCCATTAGAGACTCAGCACCCAAGTTTCCTATCAGGATCTGGTCACATAGGCACCCTCTGCTTTGCATGTATCAAAATTTCAAACTCTTATCAGGAAAGCAAGTATTTGGCATAAATGACATCTTTTATACAAAGTCTAGGTACAATGAAGTTAGGGAATGGATGGCACCCAAGGGCCAGTCTTGCAAGCAGAACCTTCCAAAGGTAGCAAGCACCCTCAGGCCTGCTATAATGTTAACTATTTCTGTGCAGATATGTTGGGTTAAATAAACTATATAAGTCAAATTAATTCCACCAATTTCTTTTTTACTTTTTAATGTGGCTACTTGCTCACATTTTTTACTCACATATTTATTTTGGACAGCACTGGTCTATATCCATGATGAGAAATTCTTCTTTAATGTGTTTCAGTTAAGGTATTTTCTCTGTATACACTAATTTTTTGTTGTTGTTGTTAATACAAATCTTGATAATTAAACAGGTGAAAAGCCTCCCTCAAGTGATATCTTTATATTAACTAATCACCAAATGTAAGACTTAAGTTTAAATTGTAAGGCTGCAATAGATTTAACTTTGTATCCCAAATTTAGCTTTATCACCCAAGAACAAGAAGAAAGCCGCCCCTTCAGAAAAAGTGTGTGTGATTAAAATAAGGGATTTAACAGAGTTTTTTAAAAACAAGAGCCAGCTGGAAAAACTTCCATTTGGAAAGCAAATTTCAGAGCTCCAATTAGTAAATTTTTTCATGCTTATCACTAATTCAAATTATTGAACTGTTTCTTTTGTTCTCCTCTAAGCTGTGATTTGTAATTGTTACGATTTCACCCATGGAAACAATTAGTATTTCAGAAGAGATTTATATAAGTGGGCTAATTCTGCATGAGAGATTCAGTTCATGCCTACCCATTGTAGATTGCAGATATAACTGAAATAGAATAATTTTGCTAAAATGGATGATACAGAATAGCAATCAGGATATATTTGGCTTCTTCCCAGGCACTGAATACTAATACATACCTCACTCTTTAAGAAAGATATGATTTTAGGAAAATAATTTCTAGGACTAGAACTGTGAAAGCAGCAGCAGACATTTTTATTAGAATAAACCCGTAATATGATTTTCGGTGACATACTGCCCGCAGACCCCCTGCAGGCTTTGTTGAAGGACAGCCATCCTTCAGCATCATTGCCATATCTCTTTGAAATTGGGGGAGACACAAAATCCCAGCCCTCCCCTTCCTTTCCACACCGTGACCCAGCAGTGAGGAACAGCAGAAAGTGGAGAGTCCTCAGGCTATAAGTGGAGTTAATAACTGGCACTATTTTTGCTGTCTTTTATTTATATAAAGACTTGTAGTTCAATCATGTTATTATTTGAATTGAAGCATACCATTAAAATCCTATATCAATAACTGATGCTTGATTGTCATTTCCACCAGCCATGCTTACCCAGTGAAAAGCCATAAAGGTTAATGTAGGTGTAATTATTAATATAACTCACATTTCTGTGAAACAAAATCTGACAATATCAGTGCTGTTTTCTAATCACTTTAAATAATATGGAGAGCAGTTGTAAAGAATTTATAATAAAAACTGAAGACATTTTCCTCTCACTGCTCAATCAGTGATGAACATGGAGTGGTAAACCTGTCTTTAAGGCCACCTTTGAAGTTATAAAGAGCCATCAAAGAGGGGGTCACATAATGTTCTGTAGATAAATCTTAAAAACCAATGACAGTTTTATTCATGAAATCCGAATGCCAGGGACCCACAGTGCTGTTTATTACCTCATTCAGCCTGTCTTGAAAATTACTTATCTTTCCTACATCCCCTTTTTGTGAACTAGATAAAATAGGTTCACAAAATAGAAGAATAGTAGTAGAATAGAACATAATATGCAATTATATTGTATGTAATAGAATTACAGTGTGGTATATAAATAAAAAAAAAAAACTCCAGTTTGTAGAAATGAGGAAATCAAAAATGGTGCATGTTTCTCTTGGCCATTTTTTAATATTTTTCAGTGCCCCCATCAGTATAATACAGTTTTATGATATCTATGACAAACCCAAGTAGATGCACTAGCTAATTTTGTAGCGTGAATAAAACACCACCATACACTCCCCAGCCCTCAATATGATGGCATGTTTGTGTAACTGACACCTGTTGTCTTTCCGATGAGCTGGAACCATCAATGTTATCTGAGAATCATGAAGTAATTATTTCAGTGGTTTTAGTGATACCATTTTGACAGGTTAGCCATTTCTGGATAAATTACTTATTAGATATATACATCATTTGAACTTAAATCTAAAACAGAAGTATCATGATTGAGACCACTACTTCCATAATCTCATCAAATTTTAGAACTAGAAGTCTGAGATACACTGTATTCCATCCCCTTCATTTTAAAAGAGGAAGCCGAGGCCCAAGGAGGTTAAATACCTTAAAATGTGGATTAACTGATGATAGAAACCGTTTTTGTTGATTACTAATCCGTTGTTTTTTTCTGCTTTCTGCTCCATGGTGCTATTTCCCAAGTTCCTTCACAGTTTATAGCTATTGTGGACTCCTTCAGTCATGTCAGCCGCAAGGGGTTCTCATACTTTTGAACTGCAGCGGATGAGTACTCCGCAGGTGAACAAGCTTAACAGTTTAGTGTGAAGACTGTTGAACTGTATATAGAAAAAGAAATCTGAACTCAACTGCAGGTTGGCTTACAGTGAGGATGGGGAGGGGATAAACGAACCCTAGTTCATAATGACTATAAATTTTTAACCTGTTGTACTGGAACTTGGGTGAATAATACCATTTAGGGCATTCTGCTTAAAGAGAGATTATAGTCATACTCTTAATAGCAAAGCAATTTTGGATATTCACTATGGACCTATATTTGTCAGATTATGTTTTGGAGTTATCTAGGTACCTAATAAATGCCTGTTTTTTCAGCCCATGTTCACAGCCCATTGAGAAATAGACAAAGTGGGTAAGACAGAAGAATGAAAAACTGTCGGTTTTATTATTAATAATGTACTGCAATTGGAGAATGTGGTCAGGTATTCCAAACTTCCTATGAAGTTTGGATGAATTCCTATGAATTCTTCCTATGAAGAAGATTCTAAAGAGTCTTCTCTTTGGAGGGGAAAAAAACAAATAATGCTCATGGCTGTTTTTAAATTACATTTATTATATATTTATTAAAAGAAAGATAATATTTAGAAAAAAATCTCATTAGTCAAGTAAAATTTTAGATACTAACTGTATCTTGAAAAACCTTCTGAAAACTAAAAAATATTTGAGATATGTAAGTATAATATAGAGCAATATTCGATTCTCCCTCCTTGGTGCAGCAAATATTTTCTGAAAATCACAAGTACAGAACCTTTTAGGCAGGAAATACATTTTGTCCAATTCTAATTTTAGAAGTCAAAATTATTAAGGTTTTTGGACCAGGCACAGTGGTTTACGCCTGTAATCCCAACACTTTGGGAGGCTGAGGCGGGCAGATCACATAACGTCAGGAGTTCAAGACCAGCCTGGCCAACATGGTTAAACCCCGTCTCCACTAAAAATACACAGATTAGCTGGGTGTGGTGACATGTGCCTGTAGTCCCAGCTACTCGGGGAGGCTGAGGCAGGAGAATTGCTTGAACCTGGGAGACAGAGGCTGCAGTGAGCTGCAATCACGCCACTGCACTTCAGCCTAGGCAAGAGAGCGAGACTCCATCTCGAAAAAAAAATGGCTAAGGTTTTTGGGCTACTGTCGTACTGAATGGGAAAATAATAAGCTGCCTCACTTCTTGACTTTCATATGTTTTGTTTCTTTCTTTACACTGAAATACTTAATACTACTCTGTTGGACTTCTGCCTCCAAGCTAGGAGTTTATTTCCTAACAGAAGTAAGCACACTGACTAATAATCCATTCTAACAAAGGTTTACATATACAAGGGGAGGTGCCAAGTAGAGGAGTATGTGGAGTGTGACAGGAACACACAGCAGTGACTGGCTACCCCAGAGAAGCAAGGGGATTTTCACAGACGGTAACATTTGAGATGATACTGAAAGATGAGTAGGTGGCCGCCACGAAGAGAAAGAAGGAGCCATTCCAGGCTGAAAGAACAACTTACACAAGTAGGAAATTATATGGTATATATTCCATATACCTTTAGTGTCCTTAAAACAATTTTTTTGAATCCAGAAGATTGGATTTTTTTATTATGGGTAAAATATACATAACAAAATGTATTATTTTAGCCATTTTAAGTGTATGGTTCAGTAGCATTAAGTACATTCACATTATTGTGCAATTGTTACCACTGTCCATATTCAGAAAGTTTTTGTCTTCCCAAACTGAAACTGTACCCATTAAACATCACCTCCCCATTCCTGCCTCTTTCTGGACCCTGGTAACCTCTATTCTACTTTCTGTCTCTATGAATTTGCCTCTTCTAGGCTCCTCAATAAGTGGAATCATACAATATTTCTCATACAATAATTAATATGTAATTATAGGGCTGGGCACGGTGGCTCACCCCTGTAATCCCAGCACTTTGGGAGGCTGAGGCGGGCAGATCACGAGGTCAGGAGTTCAAGACCAGCCTGGCCAACATAGTGAAAACCCGTCTCTACTAAAAATACAAAAATTAGCCAGGCATGCCGTGTGCCTATAGTCCCAGCTACTCGGGAGGCTGACACAGGAGAATCACTTGAACCCGAGAGGTGGAGGTTGCAGTGAGCCAAGATCACACCACTGCACTCCAGCCTGGCGACAAGCCAGACTCCATCTCCAAAAAAAAAAAAAAAAAAAATGTAATTAGAAATAATTATGCTAAGTGAAATATGTGGCTTTGTCCGTGGTGTATGTATCATAATTTCATTTATTTTTATGACCGAATCACATTCCATTGTCTTGTAGATGCCACATTGTTTATCCATCCACCCATCAATGGGCATTTTGTTTGTTCCCACCTTCTGGCTGTTGTGCATAATGCTGCTGTGAACATTGGTATGCAAGTAACTGAGTTCCTGGTTTCAGTTCTTTGGAGTAGGTAGCTAAAAGTAAAATTGCTGGATCATAAGGTAATTCTATGTTTAACTTTTTGAGGAGCCTCCAGATAATTTTCCACAACGACTGCACCATTTTACATTCTCACCCTCAGCACAGAAGGGTTCCAGTGTCTCCACATCCTTGCCAACACTGCCTTCCAAAATTTTGAAAAAAAATGTACCAGACTGTATACTGGTTTCTTAAGAACCATTGAAAATACATTCATTATCATTACATTAAAAGTGACCTTTTGGGGCCTAGCATAAGAAAAAGTTGGAATGAGCCAGCATCAGAGAATATTGACATTTGTCTTATTGTTTGAATAGTACAGAGTTTACTCAAAGAAAGGCCTTTGCGGTAAGAAAGTACTCATAAAGTCAGATTTGTTATGTATGAAATAAATCAAAATCGGGTGGTATGCCTGCTCTTCGCAACACTGTTTTCTCTTCCTGCAGCTCCCTGCACAAGCAGCACTTTCTTTTGCCATAGCAACATGTGCATCAATAATTCTTTAGTCTGCAATGGTGTCCAAAATTGTGCATACCCTTGGGATGAAAATCATTGTAAAGGTGAGTTTGATGTAAAGGCCAACCTTTTTGAGAAAAGAGTGGCTATTACCCTTCATTAAGAACTTAAAATGTTATTCTCTACGACAGTGCTTAGCATAGCTGCTTTGACAGAAATGGAAACATATAAATGGATCATACACCTGGGATGTGGTGAAAACAAAAATACTCTAAACAAAAGCATTTTTTGTCTACAAACTGTTAAGTTCTAAAGTGTATTGTGGCCGGGCACAGTGGCTTATGCCTGTAATCCCAGCACTTTGGGAGGCTGAGGCAGGCAGATCACCTGAGGTCAGTAGTTTGAGACCAACCTGGCTAACACGATGAAACCCCGTTTCTACTAAAAATACAAAAAAATTAGCTAGGCGTGGTGGCGCATGCCTGTAATCCCAGCTACTCGGGAGGCTGAAGCAGGAGAATCACTTGAACCCAGCAGGCGGAGGTTGCAGTAAGCTGAGATCGCACCATTGCACTCCAGCTTGGGCAACAAAAGCGAAAACTCTGTCTCAAAAAAAAAAAAGATATAGTGGTATGCCCTGCCCTATTTTTGTTACTGTTGTTGAGGTTTGTCATTTGTATTGTAAACATACCTTATTTAGTTGTCAAAATAATTTAGAGGTTAGCCTGAAGTATGTGGAAACACTATTTAATAAAAATCAACTTGCAGATTCTGTCTTACAACATAAAAACAAACATTCTATGAACTGCTTTTTTTTATTTCATAATATTTCCTATGCTGTATTCCCAGTGTGTACTCACTGAAAGATAAATGCAGCTTGTGGTAATGGTTGAATGTCTGCAAGCTGGTTGTCAGGTCACTGTGTCAGAACTAAAGATGATCTACCTTTTATCCTCTAAGACAGCAGTCCCCAACCTTTTTGGCACCAAGGACTGGTGTCGTGGAAGATAATTTTTTCACGGGACAGGGGTGGGGTAGGGGTGTTGGTTTCAGGATGATTTAAGCGCATTACATTTATTGGGCACTTTATTATTATTACATTGTAATATATAATGAAATAATCATACAACTCACCATAATGTAGAATCAGTGAGAGCCCTGAGCTTGTTTTCCTTCAACTAGACGTCTCATCTAGGGGTGATAGGAGACAGTGACAGATCATCAGGCATTAGATTCTCCTAAGGAATGCACAGCCTATATCCCTCACATGCACGGTTCACGATAGGGCTCCTGCTCCTGTGAGAATCTAATGCCACTGCTGATCTGACAAGAGGCGGCGCTCCGGGTCATGTGAGTGATGGGGAGCAGCAGCAAATATAGATGCAGCTTCACTCGCTCCCTCGCAGCTCACCTCCTGCAGTGAGACCAAGTTCCTGTCTGTGGCCCCAGGGGTTGAGGACCCCTGCTGTAAGAGTTCAATAAATATCTTACTGTGAAAAGGTGATGCAATCTGATATGGCTGTTATAAATACTTGACATGAAGTGTTTTCAGTTAATCATTCAAAAACAGTAGGTCATGATAATATACTGGATGGGTTAGTCTGACGTTGTTAGTTTGCTCTCCCTGTGGTCATCAGTAGATGTGGGTATACCTGAACACGGCAGTTGGTCAAACCTACCATAAAGCAGAAAGCTAAAATTGATAGAACAAGAGTATTTATTTGGCATAGTCTGTATTTATGTATTTGATTTGATTTGCAGAATGTGTGTATCTGTGTGTCTTCTGAAGAAACGGACCAAGAACTTTATCTTTTCTGTAATCTATCCATCTATACTGTGATTGGTAACTTTAGACAGAAATTTTAATGGGGTTGTTTTATTTGTTTAAAAACCTAATTGTAAACTGCATTGTCTGTAGTATATTTGGCCCAAGTATTCTGCTTTACCTAAAAATACCTTACTGATTTGTACCAGGATTCATATTAATGTATTTTGAACACTTAACATTTCTCATTTTCGTTCTACAGAAAAGAAAAAAGCAGGAGTATTTGAACAAATCACTAAGACTCATGGGACAATTATTGGCGTTACTTCAGGGATTGTCTTGGTCCTTCTCATTATTTCTATTTTGGTACAAGTGAAACAGCCTCGAAAAAAGGTCATGGCTTGCAAAACTGCTTTTAATAAAACCGGGTTCCAAGAAGTCTTTGATCCTCCTCATTATGAACTGTTTTCACTAAGGGACAAAGAGATTTCTGCAGACCTGGCAGACTTGTCGGAAGAACTGGACAACTACCAGAAGATGCGGCGCTCCTCCACCGCCTCCCGCTGCATCCATGACCACCACTGTGGGTCGCAGGCCTCCAGCGTCAAACAAAGCAGGACCAACCTCAGTTCCATGGAACTTCCTTTCCGAAATGACTTTGCACAACCACAGCCAATGAAAACATTTAACAGCACCTTCAAGAAAAGTAGTTACACTTTCAAACAGGGACATGAGTGCCCTGAGCAGGCCCTGGAAGACCGAGTAATGGAGGAGATTCCCTGTGAAATTTATGTCAGGGGGCGAGAAGATTCTGCACAAGCATCCATATCCATTGACTTCTAATCTTCTGCTAAAGGTGACGTGAATTCTTAAGTATGTATGTACGCGGCCTCCAGGGCACCATACTGTTTCCAGCAGCCAACCCTTTTCTCCCATCACAACTACGAAGACCTTGATTTACCGTTAACCTATTGTATGGTGATGTTTTTATTCTCTCAGGCAGTCTATATATGTTAAACCAATCAAGGAACTTACTCTATTCAGTGGAAACAATAATCATCTCTATTGCTTGGTATCATTTATAGGAAGCACTGCCAGTTAAAGAGCATTGGAAGAGGTGGTTGGATGGAGCCAGACTCAGGCTGCCTATTCGTTTTAGCAACGGGAAGACTGCTCTTGACTGATACAGCTCTGTCAATATTTTGATGCCACAATAAACTTTAAGATTTTTCTTTACATTTTATTTTTCCTTTCTCTAAATTTAATTTGTTTTATAAGCCTATACTTTTACCATTTCAGTTTCTTACATAAATACAAGTGGTTAATGTACCACATACTTCAATATAGGCATTTGTTCTTGAATGTGTCAAAATACAGCTAGTTACTGTGCCAATTAAGACCCAGTTGTATCTCATCCATCTGTTTCTTCTTGGCTAATCTCTGTGCTTCTGCCTTTTAATTACTGGGCCCTCATTCCTCATTTTCTGTGAGAAATAATAGATGGTATTTGTCACCTTTCAATTACATTTTTTCTCAGTTATACTGGAAAATTTCATAATCCTGGGATATAGGTACCATTGCCCACTATGACTAACAATTTGAAAAAGATAAAAATTTCTAGCAAGCCTTTGAAGTTTCCCAAGTATAGTCACATTCAGTAACAGCCCATTCATTCCAGTAAACAAAGTCATTTCATTCACTTTGGGAGAGGCCTATAATTACGTTTATTTGCAATGTTTCTCTTCGCTAGATTGTTACATAGCTCCTGTTCTACTGATTTTGCTTACCACATATGGTAACCAAGGTTAGATGCGAGTTAAAATTCCTTAGAAACTGGATGAGCCTTGAGATTGCTTCTTACCTGGGACAGGACATTTTTCTAGCTCTTATCAAGAATAACAACTTCCACTTTTTTTTAAACTGCACTTTTGACTTTTTTTATGGTATATAAACAATAATTTATAAACATAATATAAATGCTCATTGTGTTTTTTTAGACTTTTGATATTATTTGATACTGTACAAACTTTATTAAATCAAGATGAAAGACCTACAGGACAGATTCCTTTCAGTGTTCACATCAGCGGCTTTGTATGCAAATATGCTGTGTTGGACCTGGACGCTGTAACTTATTGTAAAGACCTTGGTAATGTGGACATAAGCTCTTTCTTTCCTTTTGTTACTGTATTTAGTTTGTGATAAATTTTTCACTGTGTGATATTTATTGGTCTAAATCACTACACAAATCCTATATTAAAATATACATTGTACCTGACCCTTTAATCATGTTATTTATGCTACTGAGGTTGTGGATCTTAAGGTATGTATGGAAAGGAACTCATTTATCAAATTGTAAGTAATACAGACATGCCATTTAAAAGAGGTAAATTCTTGTTTTCTATATTTTGGTAGTAAATTCTCAATGAAATAAGTTGAAGTTTCACTGGATTTCATTAACTTTTAAATATTACATATATGTGTTTTCTCAGATTAGTGAAAATTGTGACCTTAAATATGATATACACTGCCTCAGAATGCTTTCTTATATCAAAGTTTATGTTTTTTAAAAAAGTAGATAGTATTTAGGAGACGGAAAAACCTATACGTAATGTATTCATGATTTAAACTTTTTTTTAAGTCACCATAGTTTCTTATTTTAAAAATACAACTTGGAAACATGAAAAGACCTGATGCATATAATATTCAATGAACTAATACCAGAGACAGCTAAATTTTTTCAATAGTTATGCTGAATAAGCATTTTAGTAGGTAACTTATGCCAGCCAACATTTGAACAGCATAATAAATACTTAATATAACAACTATGATCTCATTCATGATGATAAAAGGGAAGTTAGCATATTTTCTATGTAAAATTATATTCATTTTTTAAAATAGCTGTTAAACCTATATTTAATCTTTATAGTAACAAATAATACAGTATGCTAAACTGTATTATCTGTAGTCACTTGTAACTTTTTATTTTTGAAATTTGATTTCTATTTTATAAGGTCTTGAAGATACCTGCAAAATACAGAGCCTTTAAAGAAGACATGTAACAGTAAAACAGAAGTACACAGTTTTATATGAGTCAACGTAGCAAGTAAAGTTGAGATAATAAGTTTCGTTCTGAATTTTCTGGCTGCTAAAACAAACAGTTTTTGCTTTTCACAGTAGAAAACAAACTTATGTGCAGAGGCTAATTTCCTCTTGAACTACAGCATGAGGGTCTGTATATAGGAACATTTCTTCAGAATGGAAAAAAGATGCAGAATGCAGAGAGAGATTATAATGGTGCATCTTAACACCCAGTGAAGGCACAACTTAATGTCATCTGGGAACACTGGTTTGGGGTCAGTCTGTATTTTCAGGGATAGAGCTAAAGAACCAGATGATCAATAGCTAAGCCAGCCTTAGCCTATCACATGTTATACGCCTTCGTTGAATCATAGATGGGCATTAGATCTCATTTATTTCTTAAAGTTGTCTATGCTTTTGGAAGAGGTGAGAATGGAACTAATACATCTTAGACATTATTGCCAGAATAATGCTAATTGCTGTATATATAGCCTTTAATCTTTGAGATCAGTGAGAAAACTTTACAAATTGCTTACTAAAAGGAAAGCCATAAAATTTAATAACAAGACATGAAATGTAGCCATCTTGTGGAAGTCATTACACAGTATTAACTGTCCACAGGTCACCCCACACAGTACCCCAGTGTTAAACACATCTAACACAAGATGCAAATCTGGAAGGCGTAAATATCTTCAATTCGGAAACAGTATTAAGTATATCTGTAGAATATTGTCACCATCACCTTCCATCCACAGTTCACCGTATCATCCCTCAAATGCCCACAGATCTATTGCAGGAAACCTACTAATCCCAACATCTAAAGCATGTAGGAATAAGGTGTGATATTCCTTTTGTGTGTGGGGAGAGTTTCAATCTAAAGGTTTAACAAAAAGCAGAGAATGTTCACATTTCACATCACGAAAGATTTCAAAGACTTCTTTAACCCGACAGCGGTTATGTCAGTGTCTTTGCTATGTTTCATAGAATTGTTAGACTTTAAAAGAACCTCCTGAAAAGTCTGCCTCAGAACATTTGTATGGTTCTGCCAATGTCTGATGAGAAGAATTCTTCTCTGTTTCAGGAGTGTGTTCACTGATGAGAGGGGATGGGAGAAGCCTGGTTGTGATTTCAGGAATAATTCTCAAAGGAGATTATGCTCTTATTGCAAAATGGGGTCTGCTATGTATTGTTCATGTCACTTTATTGCAAGTATTAAAAATAATATGCCTTGAACCACACTGATTAGACCCAGAAGGATCATTGAGTTTTTGGTGGTTTTAAAGATCCAAGAAAGACTGTCTGGCCCAAGTGTATTAATGAGAAGACTGAAGCCCACAGAAGTGAAGTCAGCCCCAGGGTCCCAAGAACCCCAGTACTCTTTTCTTTTTTTGCTGCCTCTTGCTTTTGTCAGCTGTAGGTTTTAAAAGTCAAGCACTTCTAAACAGCAGCCCAGATGTTCCATGTAAGCTTATCAGTCATTCTGAATTGAAATGTAATTCTATAATTTTTTCAATGCATTATGTTTCCCATTTAAATGTATGTAACACTGTTCTACAGTTTTGTTGCCATGATTCCTTGGCACCTGTGAATTCTTACTGAGCAATGTTTGTTAACAGTATACAGGCTTGATACTAGGCAGAAAGAGCTCTTGTGTTCTTGCTTTTCCGATCTTTTTTAAATCTAAAGGAGACATGTATTCTAGAAATTAAACATTTGTGTGCCATATCTCTTGAGTTTTGGAGAACGATTGGAGCTCGAGCTACTATAAATGACAAGATTATCTTGGATATCTTTTTTAGCTTTCTGCAAAATCACTTATGTTTTATATACCTCTGCTAATAATTCAAAACTCTGAATTTGCTTTACTTTATTAACTTTTTAAAAATGTATTTTTGCAATTGGTTTAATTACTACAAAAGCCTAAAAAGCTAATGACTAGGTGCATGTTTAGTATGCACTGTCTAGTGTAAATTTTTTTAAAGCAGTAGATTTTTATTAGAGATTAACTTCCAGGCCATATGAGAATATGCTTAATCCTAGATTTGGCGTTTTACAGAAAAGAATTTTGACTCTTGAACTAGAATTTAAAACTTGTTCTGATTTCCTTGCTTGCCTCAATTTCTAAAGTCTAGAAGTGGCAAAGAATTTAGATCACTTATGCCCACAGAATCTGTATTTCCTTCCAGGGCAAAGTTGGCATTTCCTATCTACTAGCTTCCAAAATAAAGTAATCCTAGTTATGATAATAAGAGCAACCTTATTTTATTACACTTAGAACCATTTTATGTTTTCAAATTAATCTTTGAGTGAAGATGAACTAAAAAAAAATGCGTTTTGTCCCGGGTTGCCTGCAGGTTCCAGTCTGCTGCATCCGGTCACTGAAGAGGCAGTGAGGACTGGCACGGGGTGGGCTGGAAAGCCAAGCTGTCCTTTCAGGGTGCACAGTGCCCCAGCCATAGCACAGCTTAGAAACATGGATGAGTAGACCTCAAGATAGGTGAACACGGAGTAGGAAGCAAAAGAAGGCAGAAACTCCTCTGAGTTTCACAGGCATCAGGCACAGATCAGGGCACAAAGGAAGAAGAAAGAAGGTAGTTACCACTGGTCTGTCTCTGTAAATAGTTACAGAGCAATTTTACTTTGTGTTATTTAGGATTGAGAAACAAGTGTTATTTAAAAGTCCTCTTACCCTCCAACCTTTGTCATACTCCACAATATCTGATGCCATTTAGGCCTCTGAGCCAGTACATATTTTATTGAAACTTTTTTTCTTTTGAGGCAGAGTCTTGCTTTGTAACCCAGGCTGGAGTGCAGTGGCGCAATCTCAGCTCACTACAACCTCAACCTCTAGGGCTCAGGAGATCTTCCCACCTTAGCCTGCCTAGTAGCTGAGACTACAGGCACGCACCACCACAGGCTAACTTTTTAAAATTATTTTTGTAGAGATGGTTTGGCCATGTTGCCAGGCTGGTCTGGAACTCCTGAGCTCAAGCAATCTGCCCGTCTAGGCCTCCCAAAATGCTGGGATTACGGGAGTGAGCCACTGCTCCTGGCCCAGCTGATTTTTTTTTTTTTTTTTTTTTTTTTTTTTAATTTTAAGAAATGGAGTCTCACTACGTTACCCAGGCTTGTTTCAAACTCCTGGGCTCAAGCAATCCTGCCTTGGCGTCCCAAAGATCTGGGATTACAAGCAAATTGAAAGATTTTGAGTAGTTGTTGATTGCTAAAGGAATTTTCATCAGAAATCTAGGTATTCAGCCATGCTTTCCCAATCTTGTTTTATTCTTCCACTGATAATATTGGTCCTATTAAGTTGTGCTGTAGTGAAGTATTCACAAATTTCAATCCAAAAAATTATGTGAATAGTCAGGGAGTTCTTTCTGTACCCTTGAGTTATTTTATCACTGTCATGTGTACACCTCATAAGAAAGTTCCGCTCTGAGAATGAGCACAAGGAACAGATAGGAAATGTGCAGCGGGTGCCGATGTGTAGTCCTGCAGCCTGCAAGTCCATGTGTGTAGGAAGAGGCAGTCCCTTCCTCAGTCATTAGCTTTTCATCTGAAACAACAAAACTAGTGGTAGGAAGCTTCTGAGATGGTTCCCAGTGAAACCTGCCCGCTGGTGTGCACTCTTGTGTAACCTCCTGTCCTTGGGTGTGAGCTGGACTTAGTGGCTTGCTTCTGAGGAGTAGAACAGAAGCAGGAAGGGAGAGAGCACTCGTGAGGTTTGGTGGCAGAAAGTCTGTGGCTTCTGTCTCCTTGCCCTCTCTTACTTTTGTGCTTTCCTGCTCGGAAGGTGAGGTGTTCTTTGGAAAGGCCCATGTGACGAGAAGCAGAACTTTCCAGCCAACAGCTAACGTGGAACTGAGGCCCTCATTCCAATAGCCTCCAACTGAATCCTACCAACGAGACATGAGTTTGGAAGGGGATCCACCCCAGTGGAACTCTTGAGATGACTGCAGCCAACACCTTGATTGCAGCCTTGTGAGAGACAAACCAAGATGTTTGTTTAAGTGCTAAATTTGGGGGTAATTTTTATGCAGTTACAGATAACTAGTACAAAGCTAGAAAAAGAAAAAGGCATAATACAAATTTCATGATCTTAATGAGGCTACCAGCATCTGAAGAACTGAAATAAGGAGAATTGGTCTTCCTCCCGCATGAGCACCTGTCAGCTACCTTAGTCTTACCTTAAATAAAAACACTTAACCAAATACATTATCTCTCTCAAGGACAGCAAAAGATATTGAAATTTGATGATTCTGTATTTGAAATGTAAACCAGATTACAATTAAACTCTAACTCTTGAATACTGTCCCTTTTAAGTCACCAAATCTCCTTTAAGATGAAATTATCTAAAAATGAATAAAGGATAAAATTCTTATTCTGATTCTATGTTCTTTCATATTTCCAATCATATAATACTAACGTTGGGTTTCCTAGAAGGCATGGCTAATTTACAACTCAATCATTGAGAAGATTCTTGGGACAAGTGATTTTTTTAAAAACACAACAAAAAGGTGTGTCACTGAGAAAAGAAAGAAAAGCCTTTTGTGTCCAGAACACGTTCTACCCTCAAGATGAGAAGTGTAGTGAAAGCAGTTCTATACAGAGATTTTTCTATTATGAAAAAATATATATACATAAATAAGATTTCCTGGAAGAGAATGCTCTTTTTTGCTTTGGCCAAAATGATTAAAAGACCAAATCAGGAAAGTTTTTCTTTCTGAATTGTTTTTGATAGCTGACTGACAGCCACAGCTACCTGCTATAAAAGATAAAATTGTATCTTTAACTATCAGTGCATAAATTTTTCCTTTGCATTTGAAGGAAGCTGCTATTGCTGACATTGTTTTGCCCTGTGGATATAGTTATGGCCTAAGTCCTTTTCTGTTTGTTGTTGTTGTTGTTTTGTTTTGTTGTGTTTTGTTTTTGAGAGGAGTCTTCGCTCCCTCGCCCAGGCTGGAGTGCAGGCAGGGGCACAATCTCGGCTCACGGCAAGCTCCGCCTCCCGGGTTCATGCCATTCTCCTGCCTCAGCTTCCTGTAACTGGGACTACAGGCGCCTGCCACCGCAGGGCCAGCCAATATTTTTGTATTTTTTAGTAGAGACGGGGTTTCACCGTGTGAGCCAGGATGGTCTCGAGTTCCTGACCTCGTGATCCGCCCTCCTTGGCCTCCCAAAGTGCTGGGATTACAGGCGTGAACCACCATGCCCGGCCTAGCCTAAGTCCTTTGCTAATATGAATCTGTCAGCTCTTTGCCTCTAGAAATAGTATGGCGCCTGTTACTTTGGAAGCACCTCTTTGTACTCCAGTCTCCGCAAGAGAAGCACCAAATGAGTCTCTGGTGTTCCCCCATCCTGCCATTTTTAATTGCTAGATGGCAGTCTCTGCTTCTGGAAGGACCTCACTGAGCTGCTCTTCTGCAGGGGTGGGAGAAAGGCCTGCCTTTCCGCAGGAGCCCTGTGGGTGTTCTCGCCATCGTTTAAAAATAAGCACACCCCACTCCATTCGCTCTTCCTGTCCTGCTGCTACTGCCTCCTTTTTTTTTTTTTTTTTTTTTTGGGGCAGAGTCTATCACCCAGCGTGGAGCGCAGTGGCGTGATCTTGCTCACTGCAACCTCCACCTCCCGGTTCAAGCAATTCTCCTGCCTCAGCCTCTGAGTAGCTGGAATATTTAGGTGCCCGCCACCATGCCTGGCTAATTTTTATTAGAGACAGGTTTTTGCCATGCTGTCCAGGCTGGTCTCGAACTCCTGACTTCAGGTGATCCACCCGGCTTGGCCTCCCAAAGTGCTGGGATCACAGGTGTAAGCCATCACGCCTGGCCACTGCCTCCTTTCTTGGCTTCTCCCCGTTACCCACAAATAACTCACAG